AATTTGATTTTATAAAAAGAATTATTTTTAATGCTTCATATACTTAAAATTATTTATCTAACATTTAATGTTTAGACAGTAAAAAGGAAATTGCCACTTAATATTTATTTAAGGAATTAGTGTTAATCCTCTGCCTCAAAGAGTGTCCGACTCGTATGTGTGATAATTGCGTAAATGTGTTAATTGAAGTTTGAGTGAATGCCATGTGTTGTGTGAGGGGGCCAGTTTTAGAACCGCCGTGGACAATCCCGGACGTGAATTCATATTAGATGAACTGGACATTCCGTCATCAGGAAAACAAAGTTTTACTCTGGACTATTCCGAGTTACCAAAACGTGTGTGTGTGTGTCCGTGTGTGTGCCTTTCAAATCGTCTTTGTTTTATGTGACTTAACTTGATTTCTTTTCGGATATACAAATTTCTACATTTATATTTCGTACATTATCTCTTAATAAATTTCATCACAAGTTCACTTGTGTTACAGGTCCTCCATCAGCAAGTGGAGGCGCAATGAGTGAAACATTCTCTAAGGGATGTTAAACATTCAAGTATAATTCTGTGTTATGTTGATTTTATTTATGATCCCATGTTCAAATTTGATTCAAAAAATGAATCCAGTGTTCCCGCTTTAATTGCACAAATTGCACTAAAAGTATTATAAAATATCATATCCAATTTCGAATTCAAAAGCGGTAATTTCTATAACAAAAAATAATATTACTCCAAATTCTACAATTCACATTTAAGCTTAGTTTTAAATTCCTTTTTACTTCACTTCGAAATTTCAAATGTCAAAGTAACGAACAGTGAATATTACTGATCATTTTCAAAAATCCATTTAAACAGTACAAATTATAAGCAGAGACAACACGGATCTCTAAAAACAGCCATAGCAAAAAAATACTATAGTTAACTATAGTTAACTATAGTGATAACTTTGACACTATGAATACTATAGTTAACTATAGTGATAACTTTGACACTTTGATTTACTATATAGTGCCAACTTTGAAAACTTTGATTTACTAGAGTGATCATTATGAAAACTTTGATTTACTATAGTGACAACTTTGATTTACTATAGTGATCATTATGAAAACTTTGATTTACTATGGTGAAAACTTTGATTTACGATAGTGATGACTTTGAAAACTTTGATTTACTATAATGATCACTATGACGCTGTAGTGATAACTTTGAAAATTTTTATCTACTATAGCGATAACTTTGAAACTTGTATTTACTATAGTTAACTGTATTTAACTATAGTTAACTATAGTTTACTATAGTATTTTTTTTTTGTTAGGGAGGGATCAGGTGCATCAGAAGAGTAAGCATCCCCTGTTAACCAGTCACACTCGCATGTGCTCCATATTATCAATTATTAACAGCATTATATATCTTTCCAGAGTCGCACAAAAATACTTCATATTGATAATATACTTGTATATGTAGTTTGTTTTCTTATAGTGTTACTTTGTAGAATGAAACGTCATTCAACCCCAAGGACAATTAATGTGTATAGCCTTCTTATTTTAAGTTTATTAATTCGAGAATGTATGCAGTCCACCGCGGCCAAATAAATATAAGAATCAGCATCAGACTAAATTCAGCTTTATTCCGATGCCGAGTATTTTTTCTTTTGTATGTTATAGAAATGAATGTCTCATTGTTACAGTGTGTCTTTTTTAGGTATCACGTGGTCTCTTAAGCCAGAAAAATAAGTCTTACCAGCAAGCTCCAAAATCATCACGAAGAACGTTTTCATTTTTTTTTCTCTTGCATGCGTGTACGTATGAAAAACAATTACTGAAAAAAGTTGATTGCTTTTCAACTTTTATTTGAGGTATTCATATTAAAAATTGTAAGACAAAATTTTAAATGAAACATACTGTAAACAAAACGCAGTTGTGGATCCTCCGAACATTATAGTCTGTCCCAATGAGCGCTTCCACCTCCTTTTAATGTATGATAGCAAATGTTTTTTTTTTGAGAGAGAGAGAGAAAAAAAATAGCATAACACATTAATTTAAGCATTTTTTTGTTGTCAGACATTCTGCTGTCAGATTTTATACATACAACTTGAAATAAACAATTATGACACAAAGTCGACAGAAATTTGCAAGTTTAACAGCCATTTTTGTTAAGCATTCTATGATTTTGTTCGTCATTTTGAGAGTTTAGAAGACTGTGATTTTTTTTTTTTTCATTCTGAACGTTTGATACATCATTCATTAGACAGCAAGCTGGGCTTTTCTCAGAATTTGCGGCCATTTTTGCAATGTAAAATTCCCGTAAACTTTGAATTTACCAATGTAAATGTGCTACAATGTGTTACCAATGTCTGCTTTGACGGAAACACCCGAGTTCAACTAGTATATTTTTCAACATGCTGGTTGAACTCGGGGATTTACTTCAAAGCAGGAAATTTGAGGGAAAATTGTCTTAGTTAGAAGGCCAAGGTATTCAATGTAAAAAGTGGTGAAGTTGGTACCTTGAGACAGACCAGAGTTTGAAAAACCAAATGGGGCCATGAAATTCCGATTCTTTGGTGTTGGCTTAGTACATGTATTAGAAAAAGTTTTTTGTCCCTTTTTCCAAAATCCTCTTTAAATTTCATGAAATAAAAAAAATCAAATCGAATTTATAAACAAGAGGCCCAGGGGTCACATCGCTCACCTGAGTCCTTTGGCTAGGAAAAAGCAGAAATCAGTTCAGTATTGAAAAGTTTAAATATAAAAGTGGTTTGAGGATGGGTGGGTGGAGGGTATAATTTTAACAAACTTGAATCTACACTTCCTAGGGATGCTTTTAATATGATACATAATGGTTTTGCTGTTCTTAAGATGAACATTTTTATTGATATATCCTTTATAATCCTTTGTATAACTATGATCCCCTGTTATGGCCCCTCTATTCTCCTAAGCAGGTCACGATTTGAACAAATTTAAATCTATATTACCTCAGGATGCTTTTATATTATTATGACCAATCCTGGCTTTGCTGTTCTTGTGAAGAATTTTAAAGATTTTTCCTATTCCCATGTAAAAATTTGATCACCCATTGTGGCCCCACCCTACCACCAGGGGTCATGATTTGAACAAACTTTAATCTACACCCCCTGAGGATGCTTCCATATAAATATATCTAATAAGGGCTTTGCTATTCTTGAGAAGAAAATTGTTTCACATTTTTTCCTATGTATTCCTAAGTAAAACTTTGATCACACATTGTGGCCCAACCCTAACCCCAGGGGTCATAATTTGATCAAACTTGAATCTATACTACCTGAGTATGCTTCCAAATAAATATGACCAATCATGGCATTGCTGTTCTCAAGAAGAAGATTTTTAAAGATTTTTGCTATGAAAAGCTTTGATCGCCTATTGTGGCCCCCACCCTACCCCCAGGGGTCATAATTTTAACAAAATTGAATCTACACTACTTGAGGATGCTTCAATATACATATGACCAATCATTGCTTTGCTGTTCTTGAGAAGAAGATTTTTAAAGATTTTCCCCATGTATTCCTATATAAAACTTTGATCGCCCATTGTGGCCCCACCCTACCCCTGGGGGTCATGATTTGAACAAACTTGAATCTACACTACCTGAGGATGCTTCCATATAAATATGACCAATCATGGCTTTGTTTTTTTTTTGAGAAGAAGATTTTTAAAGATTTTTGTTATGTATTCCTATGTAAAACATTGTTTCCTCATTGTGGCTCCACCCTACCCCCGGGGGTTATGATTTGAACAAATTTGAATCTGCACTACTTCACAATGACTCCACAGAAGTTTCATGCTTTCAAGCACAGTGGTTCTTGAGAAAATTTTTAAATGCTGCCATTAATTTTTCACGAAATTATAATTATCTTTCCTTGGAAGAAGGTGTGGCCCTTCATTTGAACAAACTTAAATCCCATTTACCCAAGGATACTTTGTGGCAAGTTTAGTTGAAATTGGCCCAGTGGTTCTTGAGAAGATGAAAATGTGAAAAGTTTATGACAACGCCACCATGGACGATGACAACGACAGACAACGGACAAATTTCGATCAGAAAACCTCAATTGAGCCTTCCGCTCAGGTGAGCTAAAAAAATATACAGATCTTGCTTCATAAATATGCCATGATCCTGTCAAAATAATAATAATCAAGGACTAGTTTATTTTCCTGTGGATAAAAATAACATAGTAAAAAACATTTAAAATACACTTTACATACTGATTTCTTTTTGTATACAGTAATACACAGTGACCTATTTACTTGTTTTGACTGAATTTTACATTTTCTGGTATTATTTTAAGAAGGACTAACTAGATAAATAATCTTTTTTGCTTCAAAATACATAAAAAATTAGATTGATAGAGAAACTTCATAACTTTGCTTATATTTCATAGAAAAACACATGCTACATTTAACATTATCATACTGTATTAAACACTCTTCTGATATAATATCCTACAAAAAATCTCATATATCTACATGTGTTGAAAGTATTCAAAATAAATAAAAGGAATAGAAATTTCTTCCCCATTATTATGCAAAACATCTTAAATATAAATAAAAATCATAATCTCCTTTTAAGAAAATAAAGTGATTGTCAGTAAATGCACATATATGCATTTTAAAAGAAAATAATACTTAAAACCCAGTAGGATTTTTTAAAACTCATTCCAAAACTATCAATTATAATGTCAAAATTAATTGGAAATTCCTCTTTAAAAAGCCAGTTTTAATATATATATATCGCTGGTATTTTTTTTTTTCAATTAAAAAAAAAATTAATAAAAATATGCAGAATTACACATAATATAATTTTACATGTGACAACATTAACAGAGGAAATTTTCTCACAAGGCATTTCTTTAATTTCTTTAATATAACAATTATAAACAAGTCACGTACATGTATAATCATGATAATGGCACTGGAATCTTTTTAAAATACATATTCTTCCTCTAAAATAAATAAATGTTTAAACAACATTCTTCTGGAATAAGGATAAAAAAACACATTAACAAAAAAAAAAAACATGGCAAGAAAAAATATATGAAAATATATTATTTCATACAAAACATTGCACAACAACAACTTTTATATATGGTCACAGCTTAATAAAGATAAAAACATCAACATCATACAAGTTAACACTAAATTTCCCTGGATACATGATACAACATAAAAACTTTGGTAACCTGCTGAATATTAGTACAGTGAAACCTGTCTAATCAGACATACACAGGGACACAAAATATGTGTCGGAATATACAGGGAGTCAGATTATACAGCGTAAAATCATGGAAAATAGTAAAATGGGAATGAAAATAAAGGTCAGAATTCAAAGTAAAACGGATTACACAGGTGCCAGATTAGACAGTTTTCACTGTAACATTTTATCACAATAGAAGGTAAAACTCTAGGATCCTGATATACCATTAATAATGAATTCATAAATTGATAAAATATACAAATTCTACAAACAAAAAAACAACCTTAATATTGAATTTAAATTAAGTTTCCCTGAAGAATAAAATTTATCCACAGTAGTTAATGCTTGGTATGCAATATGTACATAAAGACTCTACAGTACACATTCGTAAATTAATACTTTTTATTCTTTGGTAAATCTTTAAAGGGGTACATCAAAATAAATAAAAAATAATGAAACAGAATCAAAATAGAAAAAAAACCTGATTATATAATGGTTTACTTAACTATGAAAATCCATACACAGACACATTAAGATGTGGACTTACAGATTCAAAGTGCAAGATTTTGACATTTTAAATTACCACTAAAGGATGGAATCCAGAACCTAAGTTGGTAAAATCAACATCTAAAGTAATTCACATTCCATAGTTTTCTTCCATTCTTTTTTTAAATTTTCAATTAATTAATACTATCTTTATAATCTTCCTTGAAGAAATGTTTCCAAAGCTCTCCTAACAAACTTCTACTGAACTTTGAAATGTAATATTTTGCCATTAACATCAAGTTTAGCTGGTGCCCCTGGCAAAAAATCATAATCTGCTATCCACTCCTGTAGAATTGGATCTGCTGTTTTGTCCTCTGCTGTCTGTTTTTGTTTGTAGTGAAGTCCTGACTCCTTCCAATTTATGGTCAGGCCCTGGGAGTTCCTCAGATTAGGGTACAATGTCCATAACTTGTTGTTCCAGGCATGGTAAATATACCACATACTCCACATTCCTTCTGTTTTGCCTTAAAAAAAATTCCTAATTTATGACTCTAGTATTACAAAAGGAGATGACAAAGGACTGTATATGATAAGAGTCAAATTTGGCTCCCATATATATCAACTTTTTCAAAAGGGCTTGAGGTGTGTTAGATCGTTTTGTAATTTTCTAGAAGAGTTTACAGTATGGTAGATATATCATCCATCCATTTTCTCACTTGTATGCACTTACTGGCAGTATATGATATCAGAAATGCTACTTTTTTTGCAATCCAATTAAAATGAAACAAAATGTCCTTTTTTCTTGACATTTTTCTTTAAAAGCATCTTGATTCTTGATGTTTTTCTTATGGGAAACATAGAGCAAAGCTTTGAACATCAAAGATCTTTCTGTAAGTAATCTTAGATACATACATCTATGAAAAAAATATCTTTTTGTTCAAGACTGCTCTTTATATTTTCTGGAAAAAATTGCTTGTCAATGAGAATGAGCAATACAAAATAGGGTAAGTTCACAATGCATTGGACACCCTCGTACTTGAACAAATTCTAGCGATATCACTACCAACTGAATATTATCACAATGGAGCTTAACATATATTATGTGATTAAAGTAAGAATTTGTGAAACAATTTTATGCTTTTTGTTGAGAAAATATTATTAAAAAACAATTTTTGGAAGAGCCAGAATTCACCATGGATTGGACAGTATTCAGCATGCTTCAGACAAATGGTATATTGAACAGGAAAAATGTTCTTCTTTTATTTTGGTGGCCTTTAAAATACCTAACATGCTTATAAATTAGTGCCACAAAAATATTTTTATGCTTAATTTAAACCTTAGGTCTCTATTTTTAATTGATTGAGCATATCAATCCACAAATGTAGAGAGATAATAGTTGCAACACATAGCTTTAGATAGGGGCAACACATCGCTTTAGATAGGTCTTGCAATTGCTCATAATATGGCAACTAGCACCTTGAAGTGTCATCTGTTCTTGCCCAGTGGTTCTTGACAAGAAGATTATTAAAGATGCCACCAAATTTTTGCCAATTCTCCTCTTGAGAGAGGGCGTGGCACTTCCTGTGAACAAACTTAAATTCCTTTAACCCTAGGATGCTTTGTGGCAGTTTTGGTTGAAATTGGCTTGGTGGTTGTTCAGAAGATGTAAATGTGAAAAGTTTAGCCTTTGGCTCAGGTGAGCTAAAACCCAATCATGTCATAATTTCTCAATTAATTTCTTGGTGATTGTGGTTAATTAATTATGGTGGGCATTAGATTTCATGGTTTTGGCAAAACTTACAATTTAATTGATATATAAACATTCAGACACAGAGAGCATCCTCCTCCTATTCTTTCATTGGTATTTTTTTTTATTTCATTGATCACCTAACTTAGTGACAAGCTCAACCATAAAAAATGTTCCATTAATATCAAGTTAATGCAATGTACCTCTTTGTTGGAATATCTTCCACCACTGAGTGGGTAGGATCCCTGGGACCAGGGGTTGAAATGTGGGGTCTGTGGACTTTTTCCTGTACCATTCCACAAAGTGAAACCAATTCTTACGGTGAGGGGAGTAGCCCCAGGTACCTGTAAAAAAGTTCCAATCCTTCATCATGTTCATTATGAAATGTAAAACAGTCCCAATCCTTCATTATGAAATGTGGGCCTTAATCTTTGCACTTGTAGACTGTTTCACTGCTACAGTACTACAAATCTTTATGCGAGTCTGAGTGAATGATATCAAATCTCATTAGGCCTGTTACTGAAATTCTGTGGAAAATGTAAGATTAAAAAAGAAAACAAATTAAAATGTGCATGTTTAGGGCCTTTTTATTTACTTCTTTTGCATAATTATCCTTTTAAACTCTTTACTTTGTAACAAACATGAAGCATTATTTGAGAATTCTTAAATTATGATTGATTGATTGTATGTTGTTTTACATCCTGTTTGAGAATTTTTCACTCATATAAAGACTTCACCATATACCAGTGATGGGCTTTAAATTTAGACCTTTACTCGGCACTCAGAGCCATTGAGCAGTGAGGGATCTTTTTTTATGCCAAAGCCTGCCATCACACAGGGCCTCGGTTCTTAAGGTCTCATCTTCAAAGTGCCGAGCGCTTGGCAAAGGAACAGTTGCTACCTTTTTTACCAACTTAGGTCAGTCGTGGCCTTGATTCAAACACATGACCTTCCAATCATGGAGCAAGCTACCATGATGGTAATTCTTACATTACAAAAATCATTTTTAATTTATTGGGATTTCTTATTATATCCTTGAATTGGACATGCCAATTCTACCATGTATAAAAGCTGAGTTTGAATTCCCCTCTAAACATGTTCAACAAAGAGCTATATGCTCAGCTTGCGAAATAAAATTAATTTATTTTATATTTAACAATATCAGTGATATTCCCAATGCCCACCCACCTCCATCCTAGGGCTTAATACCTGCTGCATGTAGGTCTTATGTAGGATCCTTCTTAATTGAAAATTGACTCTTTTTGCCCAAAAATTAAGCTAAAAAAAATTCCCACACACAAGCAGATTGACTTCAATGCTTTTTTATCATGCACCTTGATTTTTGAGATTATATTAAGATTTGCATAGAACATAGGCCTACAAATCTGTCTTTACTCTTCAGTAAAACATTGCACATCACCAATATTTCCAAATTTTGTCCCTATTTTTTCTTTTCAATTTTTTGAATTTGCAGTTGAAAGGATACATGATCCTGTATCGAAAATAGACAAATACAGTCCCTGAAACGTTCTACTTTCCCACTTGAACGGTGAGCGAACGCTGAACGAACGTTGAACGAACGCTGAACGAACGCAGAGCGAACAGTGAGTGAACGATGTGTGAATGCTGAACGCAACTTGGTGAACGATGAGTGAACGCTGAACGCGAACGGAGCGCAAACGCGAACGCAAAGTGAACGGTGAACGAACGGTGAACGCAAGATGAACGATATATTCGGAATGCCTCTGATCTTTTCCTTGCATTGAAACTATTTTATTGTATTATATTGCCAGATGCCAAATAAATAAATAAATAAATAAATAAGTAAACCAATAAAAGAATGAATAAATAAGTCAATAAAATAAATTCTCTAAAAATGTTCTACGAAATACGATGCGTGCACATTAAGTTTTTAATCAAACGATTTTTATCGCATTAAAACATTGCAATATGTTGTCGAACGCTGAAGTATAAAAGATATTTTTTAGTTGGAAAATAAAAATGTTTATTCTTATTTGATAACAAATCAGAGAAAACTTCTGACTTATAGAATGAATTAAAGCGGTTGTAACATCCATTCATATACATGTATCTCCGTGTCAAGGCGAATTCGTGTAAATTAATGAAAAAAATTACAAAGGTCGGTGGACGTTTTGCATTTATACGCTCGTATTTTAAATTTTTAATACAAAAATATATTATGTGTCATTTCTATTTTTCATGATGATTTATTGAGCAGACTTCTACATGTGTATGTAGATGGCCGTGGTTATACTCGGACAAGATAATACAAAGATACATATTCATATTATTTGTTATAAATTCAATTTTCAGAACTTGATATTTAAATAATATGCTGTTATAGTTTTTATTAAACAGACAAATGAGAGAGAGAAATATTCCGTTGTAGCCCCCCCCCCTCCTTTCAGGCTTCACTAAATGTTTGTACCTATATCAAACAAAAACTCTGATTTTTTTTTTCTAAATATATCAGACAGTGAAAGTAACTTTTTTTTTTTTTCAACAAATCATATCCATTTGTATGATAGTCATAACCGTTTTTATGTTCCTGTTTCAAGTTCACACGAAGTCCACGTGCTTGTCCTGTCAATCAAAATCATTGGACACTGTGCAGGTGTGAAAGTTTCATCACATCGAAGACGAAGTGCGAGTACTTCCAACAAGTTATAACATTTATTTTTATCATTTCTAGATTTGATTCCAACATTTTTATAAATGAATAAAATACATTGGGCATTAACACTTGAATTTGAAACATACTCTCTGCCAATTTCAAATACCACTGCCGACACGTGTACATTTTGAACTACTATTGTTTTGAGACTTTTTTTTAGATGCATGTTTGTTTTGAGACTGAAATTTTTGTTCTAAAAAAGACCTTAACTTTCTTTTTAAAATGTTAATTAAAATATTCTGGAAATGCAGTACTGACTAAGTAACCGATTTAGGGGGAAAAGGGGGGTATTAATCATATCGAATGGCAAACATATAAAGTTACGGTGAAGAGAGAATTTTTTTCTCTATAACTATAGACTTTACATATTATAGTAGAGAAAATTCTGTAGTGCAGTACATTTTAAATAAATATTTCCTTTAACCACACTATCAATTTAATTCGCTCCAAAGATAATAAATTAACAGGATATCCGCAGTACTTCGTATAACTCTCAGAACTAGTTCTATATTATTTTCTGTAGTAATTAAAAAATAATTAGAAATAAATATTTTCGTAATTTTTCTGCGTAATTATTTGACTTGGATAATTCTATCACCATTAACGATTTGTCGTCTTTAACAAAACAACAAAATGTTGCAGTGCTTGAAGTATTTGCACATTGCCCTTAGTTAAATTTAATATTTCAGCATCGTTCTACCTAGGTAGAGAATGTGCTTATGACAACATTTATTTTCCAGTAATTTAATAAATAACCTAACAGCTAAGTTAGAATAATAAAAATATATATCGTAGATATTTTTCCCCATGAAATAATGATTCTTCAAACACGATATGTTAGTTATTAAATTAAAAAAACCTGTAACTCCTTCCCTACAAAAAGATAAGTCCTTTCACTTCGGAGTTCCGAATGACAATGAAAACTGAACGCAAGGTGAATGCTGAACGCAAGGTGAACGCAAAGTGAACGGAACGAAGAGCGAATGCTGAACACTTTGTGAACGGTGAACGCGAGCGCACGGTGAACGCAAAACTGTGAACGGAGAGCGAACGGTGAACGCACGCTGAACGGACGGTGAACGCACGCTGAACGGTGAACGAACGGTGAGCGAACGGAAAAATGGGAAAGTAGAACATTTCAGGGACTGTAAGCCCTGCATGCATCCGATGAACAAAACTGTAAAACAATGAAGCAGACCGTTTGATGAACTCTGACTTTGAGAACAAACCTAAGATTGGGTACAGAAAACAGACATCTTTTTCTGGTCCCCTTAGATCCCCCGGTGCTCCACCATGCTTTATGCTGCGCCCTTGTAGAGCATAACCAGCCAGGTTGTTCATACTGTCATACTTCTTATGGACGTTTTTGAGCCAGCGGTAGAAATGTTTGGATACCGTAAGGTCATCCTCCAGAATGACCACTATCTCCTCTGATTCAGGGGCGGGGTTCCATGTCCCAATCCATTGACCGTATATACCAACATGTTTGGTGTGGTTGTGTACCTATATACATGTACAAGACAATGTTTGGATCATGCTTTATAACAAATTGAAAGTGTTTATTCCTTGCATTTCAATATTAGCATATTTTACTGTATTAATTTTCTTTGAAGTAATGATATTAACATGATTAAACAACTGTACATAATATCAAATACATGTACCTTAAGAAAATTAAGTCAGGAGCAATTATATATCTACCAAACATTTATTCACAGTCTGAGAGTTTTCAGTTATTTTGAAGAATATAGATTTTGAAAAAATACATGAGGATTTTGAGAAGCATAATAACTGTACTTTGGTATCTTCAGAGACATCTAATCAAGCATAAGTAAGACTAAGTATATATTACTACATACATATGTATTAAGTAATAAACGTTGAAGCTTTAATACTGAATGCATATGAAATGTAAAATAATGTGAACTCAGCATAATGTCAAGACTGTCGTCTCTGGTATCTTGAACAAATACTGAGGTATAATATAAGTCAGCAGTTGTGGCCATATTATTATTTCAGTTTCATTATTCTAAAATAAGAGTATCTCGTAGATTATGACAACTCTGCCATCATCAAAAAAAAAAGTTTTTTTTAAACACGTTTGGATTTTTAAAAGTATTTAACAAGCTTTACAGTTGGATTTTATTAAACTTTTTTTTCCTTTTGAACAAGATACAAGATTTTATTAGTCCAATATGGGACCTCCGAGGAGCAAAAAAGATTTACAAACATACTGTAATTTATTTATTGAATAAAAGTGAAATTCTCTCACAGTGTGAAAGGATATCAGTCGAGAGTAAGTAAAATAATTCTGGCCTGTAATAGGATTGAAATGGTAACTAAATCATCTTGATAGAGACTAAAACTGCCAATTAATATTTCTTCCCAAATATGTTGCTAAAATTCATATTACATGTATTATGTTTTCAATCTCACAACTGCTAGAACATAATACAAGGTACATGTACTGAACTTAGTCAGCAGTCTTGACCATACTATTAATTTCACTTTCCAACATAAGGATATCTCAACGTTTATCGAAGGGCCCATTATGATAAAAAAAAATCAGATTTTAAACATGTTGGACATTTGAAAATAATAATCAACACTTAGTTTTTATTGCATAATTATTTATACTTCTTTGTTTATACAAATGGCACTGTTACAAGATCAAGATGTGTTAGTGTAAGCCAGGTAACACTTAAATTCTGACATTCAAAAAAATTGAGCATTCAGAAGTGTTCACTTAGATTTTTTTCTACCAAATTTGAAGGTAAATGTGCATGTTAGATTTCTGGCTATCTTGATCTCAGTCTGCATTGGGTTCAGTGAATTAAGTTCAGAGTAATTGTAGCATGAATCAACCTAGCCCAGTATATTTTGATTTAAACAATATCTTATTATGCATAGTTATAATAGGATTAGACAGCAGGCACTGCCTATATAAGTCCTCTCAATAATACAAGGTCAAAGTCATACATGTACAAGCAAATATTAGTTACATAACATTGAAAAAATAAATATATACATGTGTATATTCAAAAGAAATTTATAAAAATAAGACAAAATAAATAGTAGAAAATTAATTATAAGTGAGCTTATGATACAATATACGTTTGCAGATTAACATATATGACTAACAAAAATATATACAGGTATAAATGTGAAAGTTAATAAAAACACATAAATAGATGTTAGTTCTGTGATTTGACAATTAAAAAAAAAAAGAGAAGAGACACAATATCATGCAAATCTCTCTGTAATCTAGATGTAATAAATTCATGAAAAAAAGTTTAAATACTGTAGTATTTTGGTTGTAAATAAGGTTATTGTCTCCATTCAAAATAAGTTGTAAAGATAAAGGCATTGGTAATTGCTAAGTATTAAAGTTTTGCATAAGGTTCTGCCTTTGCACACAATATTTTGGACATTTCATAAAAAAAGTGAAATGATTTTCTGAACTACACCCGCACATGTCACAACTTCTATCTTCCCTTAAAAAATGATTAAATAAATCAGCATTTAAATTACTAGCATTATTTCGCAATTGACAAAAGAATATAGTCATTTACGACTTCCATAGCTGTAATATTTCTTAGGTTTTATGCAGTATATACTTTTTATGGCAGTCTTGAATGATGAAAGTGTAGGAAGATTTGGAAATATTAAAGGGTAAATCATATAAATTTCCACAGTCGTATATGTTGTTGAAGGAAGGAAACTTTTCATAAATGAAGTCGTTATGGCTAGTGGAATATGAAATGTAAGATTGTCCTGATTCCTTAAAGGATAAGAATTATGTGGTAAATGCATTGTTGTAATAAATCTTGCAAACACTAGGGAGCTAATCCATACACTATCTTATACAAGAGGCCCAAGGGCCTTAACGGTCACCTGAGTATAATACAACAATTTAGAGGATCCATAGAGTATAAAATGAACTGAAAGGTGAAGCTTTGTTGCCCAAAAGCAAGAAAAAAAGGGTGATCAGGATTAACAAAATAATTAGTCTAGTATTCATTAACAGTTCATAAATTAGGTTCTAATCTGTTCCCCATTTATCACTCTCACCAGACAGTATATTAAGAAACTATCAGTGCTTCTGTACTCTTTTAATTCCTTGTGGAAATCTCTTACATTGGCCTGAGTAAGACTCTTGGTCTTTGATGAACATTTAAGGTACTGGTATTCCATCCCTAACAGCCTCAGATTCAATGAGTTTGAATACATAACAGATGTGTACGGGTGGAATACTCAGTATATTTAGACATAATCTCCATTTATTACTATTAGCATGTAAGAATGGAAGTGTCCTAATTTATGACTTGAACTTTGTTGAAGAGTTATCTCCCTCTTTTTTTAAGTAATAAAAATCAATTTTAAAAAAATATACGGTAAAAAAATTGTTTTCAATTGTCATTCTATTTCTAATGATTTAATGGATCTTTCCACCACAGTAGTTATTGATATTCTTATTATTTGAATTTTTATTTAAAAAAAATTGCTTGTCTCCATAGACTTCAATGCAATTTCTATTAATTAAATACTGCTTAGTTAATTACGTTTTTGAAACTTTCACTTGGTAAATCATTTTCTACTGTAAAGTTCTTTGAATTAATATCAGAGTATTATATACGTGACTGATATTTAAGGATAGAGAATTAGTTCCTATTAGGGATGGAAAACCTTAATAAGACAAGTCTACCTGATCATTAAAACTATGAAAGTACTTTTTGTACTATACAATAAAAATTCTTGCAAAATTCTCTTATTCTATTAACCTTTCAAGTACATTATTTACAGTGATTAATTATCACAAGTAAATGGCAAAGGGGAATAACTCCTCTCAGTAGAATACAAATTAATAGAGCCCTGGCCTGGACTAGAACACTTGACCAAATGGTCTTGATGTTCAAAAATCTTGTAAAAATACCCTCCCTTATTAAAACTTTTACTCTTTTTGCCTCTGATATGCCCAGGTGCAGAGAAGATTTTTAAAGCATTAATGCATTTTCACTATATAATAAATAGAGTCCCGCCCTAACATCAGAACCTCTGATCCAGGGGTCATGAAATTCACAAATTTGGAAAAGGAATCCTTGCTTATCATTACCATGTATTTGTTTAAATAATACCCAGGAGAAGAGAAGAAGCTTTTCAAAGAAATAATGCACTTTCACTATATGATCTATATAGCCCCGCCCTAGCACCAGAACCCCTGACCCAGGGGCCATGAATTTCACAATTTTGGTAGAGTCACTCTTGCTCATCATAGCTATGTATTCAATTTGTTTCAATAATACCAAGGAGTAGAGAAGAAGATTTTCAAAGAAATAATGCACTTTCACCATATGATCTATATAGCCCCGCCCTAGCACCAGAACCCCTGACCCTGGGGCTATGAATTTCAAAATCTTGGTAGAGTCACTCTTGCTTATCATAACTATGTATTCAATTTGTTTCAATAATACCCAGGAGTAGAGAAGAAGATTTTCAAAGAAATAATGCATTTTCATTATATAATCAAAAGAGCCCCACCCTAGCACCAGAACCCCTGACCCAGGGGCCATGAATTTCACAATTTTGGTAGAGTCACTCTTGCTTATCATAACTATGTATTCAATTTGTTTCAATAATACCCAGGAGTAGAGAATAAGATTTTCAAAGAAATAATGCACTTTCACTATATGATCTATATAGCCCCGCCCTAGCACCAGAACCCCTGGCCCTGGGGCCATGAATTTTACAATTTTGGTAGAGGGCTCAATGCTTATTACAATCATGCCAACAGTTTGACTGCTTGATGTCCAGGAGTAAAGAAGAAGATTTTTAAAGATTGCATTAATTTTGATGGTCTTTGCCCCACCCCTTAGGCCCCAGGGGGGCAGGGGCCATGAATTTCACAATTTTTGTTCCCCTTCACCCATAGATGCTATATGCCAAAATTGGTTGAAATTGGTTCACTGGTTCCAGAGAAGAAGCTGAAAATGTTCAAAAGTTTACGACCAACGAATGACGACGGACGAAAAGAGATAGGTTTATGTATTTTTCTTCTTATTTCAAGTGCATCCCAGCTAAGATCTTCATAAAGCTTTGATCTTGATTAATTAATCCGCAAGCAGCTGCAACTTGAACATCTGCTAGTAATTTTGCATCTCTATCAGTACAATTATTCCATACAATATCTGAGTATTCAAGAACAGGGCAAATAAAAGCCAAATATATTTTTATCAAAGGATCCATCTTAAGGAGGCTTAAGGAGGCTGGGGGGTCAACAAATTAACCATCAGATATAACTTAATTTTTTAAATATGATATCTTAAGCTGTGAACTATCATAGGCAAAGAAAAATTTCATACATTTTAGTTTTAAAATTTGATCATTTTTGTTTATCTTCATATGGAGCTCTTCTTCTAAAGGAGATCAATATAATCTGAAAATGGCCACAACCACCCAGCCCTCTTAAGGGTGTGCTTTAACATTCTTAAAATATGTAATCGATT